AAAAAAATCAATACAATCGTTAAAGTTAAATTTAGAAATTGATGTAATTGATTTAAAGGTACTGCTCCGTCTAGTTATTCATGTCGCGGGTAGAAATGTTGGTAAGTTTTTTTTTTTTTATTAAATATATTTTTTTTCCTTAAAAAACCGGGTCTACGGCAATCTCGGTCTATTTATATTTTCGGCCCCTTGCAACAGTGGATGACAGCTGGCAGAATCCCCAATCACAGATAATCCAGCCCAGCAGAGCCGACGTGGCCCAATTCCAACGGCTGTCAGTGGGCCCCTAGGACGCTTCCAAATCATTGAAGCGGGTCCCACTTTCCCTCCGTTACTACAAGGTAATAAATTGCCTCCCTCCCTTGTCCTCCGCATCCTTCCTCCCTCAATAAAACCCTTCAAAACCCTCAGAAGGAAATCCAAACCCAATAAGAATAGAATTTGGCGAGAGGATCTAGAATCTAGCTAGGTTTACTCCATCAATCCTTCAAGGGGGAGTTTGATCTTGCGATGTTTCCTTTGGTCTTTGGGGCCTTGGAGATCGTGGAGACGAAGGAGACGGCCAGCGAGGAGGAGTCCCAAGATACTGCGATCGTTTGGGAGAAAGAGCGATAGCTGGATCATCGGATATTCTCTGCGGTTCTGGCTCCGTTTTTGACTAGTTCCCTGTCGAAGTCGGTTGCTGTAGTTATTAGGAATTCGATTTTTTTTTCTTTCGGTTACAGATCTCCCATCAGTCGCAATCTCTTAGAGATCAGAGAGAGGGAAAAGTTTCTGATCCGGTAGTTATTCTCAACTTTATCATGATTAGAACGAGTATTGTTTGATTTATTTTTTATTTTATTTTTTGATAAAGGAGCCGGTCAGATTCTTTATTATCTTTTCATAACTAATCTTTTTTTTAATATAATTTCCTATTTTCTTGTAATTTCTCTCGCTAATAAAATTATCAGTGATATTCAGAGGCCTATTTAAATTCCATCCTTTTATCAAGAACGAAGCAAACCTTTTCTCTCCCTAAAACTATTGGATTCTGATCTGATCAATATTTTACCGTGTCATCTAGATATCGAAAATGTCGGCCAAAGTTAGAGCGAGCGAAGCGGCGATCCCAAGCCCAAAGCTCGAACCAAAGCCGCGCAAGGACCACGAAACGGCGCCAAATCGAGAATCGAGACCGCCAATGCGACCTGCTGCCGGTCTAATCGAAGAGATGCACCCCGCTACATGCGAAAATCCGCGAGCGCGTACAACAACCGCTGGAATCTTGCGCCTCTGCTCGAGGCCGTCAAGGCGAGATGCTAGCGATGAAGCGCCTTGATCTCGACCGAAGACAGCCCTGCAACCGGCACTGAGCTTCTCTAAGAGTTTCAGGTTCGTCGCCGCCGCGATGAACTCGTCCGATGAGCCTGATCTGGGCGGATGAGGCATCGCTCTGAGGAGGACTCTTGATTCGCCGAGGGCGGTGAGATCGGTGCCGCGAGCCCGAGGAGAAAGACGATGGGCGATGGCCCGGGGGCCGCTGGCGAGGTCGGAGAGCCTGTTTGCTCACGATGTTGATGGAACCGGAGGGGAGATTTTAGTTAGATGAAAAAGCCTGCAGGGTGAAGACTTGCGAGTATTTAGTTAGGCATTAATGTAATTATTATTATTATATATATATATATATATAAATTTATTTATATTGCTATAGGTTCTAGGCTTTTGATTCGGATGGTATTTGATGTGTAGGACTTTGAACTTGTGAATTGGATTTGGGGAAATTGAAGAAATTTATATTTTATTGTTTTGGATGCGTTTTGTTAATTTTAGTGCCCTGTAGAATTTCAAAATTTTCTTTTGGGAAATTGTGTAGTGGTAATTGCTTGTGCTCTCTTAGTTTTTAAAGAATTTTTATCATTACATTGTTGTGTCTCATTTTCGTTTTTTCTTGAGGATCCAATTTTCTTTGAGTTAATTCTCGGTGGAGTCTAGCCTTTGGACGTACCAATATTAATTTCTTTCTTCATATTTACTGAATAAAGCTTTCTTGTTTTATTTGTAATAAATGTAATCATAAATGTGGTAGCGTGCCGTTTATTCATCCAAATGTAGCATTGTTTCATACTGTTTTCAAATAGTATCTCTGTAGATGCTTCTTATAACCATTCATTGTCGCTGTTGATACCTGGACTCATTATCGTTAGCCGATATTATTCAGATACGATGTAACTATGCTGGTGATCCTAGAATATTATATATATATAAGTAATTCTGAGTGTTCTAATTGTAATTACATGGATAGTATAGTTGCAATTTAGCAATTCTAAAATTACCGGTGTATATACACAAACTTCAGGATTATTTGTGTGATGACATCATACCCAAGAATACCGGACTGTAATTAATCGTTATTATTATTATTATCTTGTTTGTATCCCCGTCATTGGGAGGATACAGAGGGAGAGAAGACGAATGTGGAGAGATTGTTTTTTAGGTTTTTTTTGTGAAGTGTGATTTTGTTGCCTATTTATATAGTATGTTTTTTGTGTTTGTATTTTTTTTCAGAGACCAGAGATTTATTCGCTGAGGCCACCCACACTAAAAGATAATTATTTATACAGCGATGCTATTTGGCTGGCTTCCCCCCAGCTCGCTCTCAACTCGCAGAGAGCGGAGAAGGGGGTGGGGCCACAGCTGTGGGCCCAGCTGTGGGCCCCACCTAGGGCTGAGCATGGTTCGGTCCAAACCGATCGAACCGATCCGAACCGACCCGGAAAAATCGGTTTTATGAGTAGGGCGGTTCAAGTCGGTTTGAAAACTTTTCAACTCGAACCGATCCGAACCGACCGAATATAGTGCAATAATACCCATTCTGATCTCAAACCCTAAACTTATTTTTTGAATCATTATGGGTTGAAAACAATATCATTATATCAGTGTTTAATGATTCATAATTTCCTACTTTGTTGATATCTTTTTTTTCTTTAACACAGTTTCTTGCTTGATAAGAAGTTTGATGAAGTTAGAACCGAACCGCACCGAACCGACTTGCAATAGTTCAGTTCGGTTTTAAATTATAGGCGGTTCGGTTCGGTTGTTCAAATTTTAGTAAAAACCGAACCGAACCGACAGTTGCACACCCCTAGCCCCACCCCCTGCTCCGCTCTCTGTGAGTTGAGAGCGAGCTGGGGGGAAGCGAGCCAAAGAGCATTTTCGTTATTTATATATGTTTTTTCTGTTTAGAACGTGAAAATCGAGGATAGATTGTACTAGCGGAGGTTTTCACTTTTTTATTAGTTTGGGTTGACGAGGAAGGACCATCGGGATGCGTGCGTGAAGTGGACGAAACAGGAATCGTAGGTTGGTGACTTGTCGTCGCGGGCAATTATTGCTCTTTGTTGCCTATTACATAATGATTGCTGAACATTGTTTATGGTCACCTCCCCCCGGTGAGCTCATGCCCCGCCGCTCGCACGTGTCTGGAAGCCTTTGGGGGTGAAGGCACGACGGGGGTGACGGGATGTCCGATTTTTGCGCGTAGACGTCTCTTCTTCGGAGTAGCATTCAGAGCGCGGAAAATATTAGCAGACACTGTCCATGACAAATTACAATGGATTTTTAAAAAAAAAAATAGAAAGAAAAGGAAAAAAGAGGTACTTATGATAGATAGGGTCTCCTCTTACGGGTTCTAAGCCATATCCATATCCGAATAAATATACGTAACCGTATTCATCAGGATACGAATATGGTTACTTAATTATATAATTGATAGAGTATGGTTACAGATATGATTTGTAGTGAAATATCTGTATCTGTATCCGAAAGATCCAAATACATATTAGTCATACTCTTACAGTCATACTCTTACGACAATTTTGATTCTTAGATTACGGATTTGTGATTAATTTTGACGAACAAAATATCTAATCTTAACTTTTCAATTATAATGAATATTTTAGCGAACTCTTTTGTATCACATGAACTATGTTTTTCTCCATACTATCTAGTGTTCTCATATCCGTTTTGTATCCGCATGCATATCCGATCATATATCCGTATGTATATCCATAATCGTATCTGATTTTAGCGGATATGGTTATAAATTTTCCTTACCAAGGTAGATGTATTCGTATCCGTATCCGATATGTGTAAGTGGATATGAATATGATAAGCATCATATCCGATCCGTATTCGGACCGAGTGCACCCCTATCTCTTCTGCTTGAGGGAGAGCTCGAGTTCGAGCCCTAGTGCTATTACCGAGATTCAACCTGCGCCTCAATATTATCCCAATTCCTAGAAAACTGATAGGATATTCGAATCTAAAAATGCTGAACATGAAGCAAATTCATCCAATTGTTCTGACGGTGCCCGATGAATATCAGAAACCATTTAATTCATGTGTATATATCTCCGTAGACAAGATTGGATGTCTAAATTTCCACTCAACAGTTACAAGTTTCCTCTAGTGCATAACTAGCAAAAATAACTTGGGTTATGTGTTAGACAATACTATCGCAATATGAATATGTAGGATTCAAAGAGTTCTATATAGTGAGCGTTCTGATAAGATTTATATTTTCTCTAAAAAAAAAAAAACTGCAGTTTACATCGCAACAACAATGATAGGCCATTTGCTGGTGTTGTCTAATTTCTCACGCGACTGGATCCAAGCTTCTGAAAATTTCAAACTCGTGCACTAGCGACTAAAGATTTTTTTTTTAATTTGTTAAAATTGCCTCAAACTAATTGAAGCACAACACGAGCTCGTAACCTATAGCCAAGCGGCAATTTTTGAATTTACAAAAGTAAAATTTTCGGATGCATTTCAAACACGGTCCAATAGCACAAATAACGAACTACAGCCCATTTACATGTCCACATAACCTTTAGGAAATTACTGCAATCCTATTGGGCCAGGCCACTCGGTCCTTGAAGAAGTCTTTTTACAAGTCGCAGCTGGAAGTTACTATTAATAAAATAATAGTGTTATTGCCCTCAATAAAGTCATCTTTTTAATCAAGAGGTCAACAGATAGGCAGAGGTCGAGAGCTGAGAGGCTGAGAGCCGCTTCCCAATCGAGAGGAGCCCAAGACCCCCGTCCCCCTTCTGTGGTCATCGCCCCCGATCCAAGATTAGGGTTTCAATCGTTAAAACCCTAGAAAATTTCCTCCAAAATCTCTCAACTTCCCTTCAGCAAGATCGAATCTTTTTACAAGCAGAAGAGGAATCCGCCAAAGATTCTCCAATCTTCTCCTTCGACCTCGTTCGCGCGTTTTATGGACAAGTTCTCTTCGGTTCATCCTCTCGTCGATCTCCGCAAGGGTTTGCGATCTTAAATCCTCTGTTTTTCTTTTGTTAGATCTGGCCTTGTTTAGCTTCACGTGGAAATCTATGGATAGATGCGAATCTGGGGAATTTGTTTTTAATTTAGGGGAAAAAGGTTGCTTTTTTAGGTTGCAACTGACATTATTTATTGTTGTTGGCTATGAAGTATGTTACTTGCATTAACTTCCACAACTTCGAAAGAGAAGTTTTATTGTGATTCTTTTTTGGGGTTTTGGAAGCTCTGGAATTGTTTGGTGGTGAACATAATGGGTTGTTGGAGCGTTATACTGAAATAGTTAGTTAAGGAAAGTTGTGTAGCGCATATTTTCTCGTTTTTTCTCTCACTATGCAAACTATTTAAGGAAATGATATCATAATCAAATTGGAGAGAGGTGAGTGTACCTAATTAGTTTGGTGGAGAAAAGTTTAAACAGTTGACGGATCTCTTTTGAAATTTGATGGCAGTAGGACCGCACTTGAACTCCAAATATTGCAAGTTGAAGGAAGGTACTTTGAAAAGAAATCCTATAAATGCTTCCTCCCTCAGAAATTTCATTTGAAATGTCGAACTGTTGGGAAAAAAAAAGTTGCATCGGAAAATCGATATTATGAGCAATTCTGAATAGTAGATTAGCATAACTCTTTCTATTGACTGAAACTGAAGTTGTGGTACTGATTGAGATACTCATTGTTACTTTCAAGTTGCCGGCATGTAGGGTGGTTAAAATTGTGGATTGTCCTCTTAGTTTTTTTTTCTGTCAGAAAGTTATTCAAGAATATTTAGAGGGTCTTGAGCTTTCTTGGTTGGTTTGAGATGGCATGGTTGTGGTGGGCGGAATTGGCTTCATAAAAATATATGATAACCACTTGTCAAGTTCACTTTGTACGTTTAGGTTCGCATTTTATTTATAACTAAGTCTCATTCAAAATAAAGGTTGTTGATTGCTTCAAATTGCGATAAATGAAATGGCTATCCCAGAGTTTCAAAGGTAGGTGGATTCACAAACATAGAAGTCTTTAGTTTCTCTTCCTTTGTTAGTTAAACTAAACAGGGGACATTGCTATTGGATGTGAAAGCCCTAGAGGATGGAAACACTTGACCCTGTTCCATTTAATGTGCATTAAACAGGGAGACTGGAAAATTAGGCTTCGACGAGTTAAGATGGTATTCCTTTGACTTATTAATCCTCCTCCATATTCACTTACGGTCAAGGCCTGGGGTAGGTTAAAAATATTATAGTTTCTTTATGAAGTTTATGTGTTAAAAATAGAAATATTTGTACTATATTTTTTTCAGAAAATATTTGTACTATATTAATAATGTAATTATGTAACATGTAGCCGACTAACTACTAGATTCCCATAAAATGCTTAAGCCAATATATTGTTGCCTGACTACAAACATCAGATTTATGTTGGAGGCATATTCTCTTAGTTGGTTCTGACATTTTGAACTTAAATTGTAGGTTTTGGATAAATTGGTATTCAAATTCTTTTCCTTCTAAGAGACGTCATATAAGTCCATCGAAGAAAAATAATTCTCCGACAAAGGTTTTCTGAGCGACACGGACTCAAAGTTGAAATTCACCAAGCAAAATGACTTCATTAAATCCTAATGCAGCAGAGTTCATTCCTTCAGCCTTTAGATCTCCACCTGCAAACATCAAAAGCTCAGATATTAGCAGATGGGATGTTCCAGGACCTTCTGCAAATTCAATTCTTGATCGATCGGAATCCAATGTTTCAAATAAATCAGATGACGAGGCACAGAGGTATTGGCGTGACCAACTTCCAGATGATATAACTCCTGACTTCAAGAGTATGGTAGAAGAAGAGGGGCACACACCTGGGCAACTTTCGCTTGCCAATTTATCGTTGCATGACAGTGCTGAAACTTCCAGATTCCTTACAGCGGTAAACAACCAATTATATGGTACAGACCAGGATATATTTCATGAAGTTGGTGATCTCGACATCGGTGAGAAGGTTGGATATGCAGGATCTACTTTCAAGCAAAATCAACCATCAAATACCTTTATGACATTTTCTGCTAGTGAATGGGACAAAAGGTTTGTAAATGGTGACCAGCGTTTTACAAATGGAAGGGAGGGGCATCATTACAGTGGAGATTCCAGTTCTGGCTTGTTGAATGATTCCTTAAATGAGCAGATTATTTTAGATGATGCTTCGGTCAATCCCGTGGAATATTTGGCATCTGTATTTCCTGGTTTTGCTGCTGAGAGCCTAGCGGATATTTATTATGCAAATGGTTGTGACTTAAACTTAACTGTGGAGATCCTAACTCAACTTGAGGTATGATTAAAGTTATTAAATTATATGTTTCTGACTGAAGAAGTCCAAGCGGGTTGCCTTTCCAGAATGTTTATTTTTTTACGAGTGATCAAAACACCATGGAAAATTAATTGCATACTGAAGTTAACTCGATTGCAAAGGGTCTCTATTGTTATTGTTAGAAAACTTAGAAAACGTAGTAGAAAACAAACAATCTTGACTCCTGACACACAGGAAGTGAGGATTCCAAAATTGTTGTCGACTTCTAGGGTAAGCTGAACTCAGCTTTATTCAAACTCTCAATGGGAACAAGTTATAGTGCAATATATATAGGCTACATTGTAAAGCCATATGAAGTATGAACTTTGGAGGCACGGTTGTAGGAAAACAGATTGGCAAATTAATTCCATCTCTGAAAGTGAACAAATTAGCATAATGATCAAAACAGAGTGGATAATTAATTCCATCTGAAGTGAGCTGAGCTTGACCACAAAAGCTTTCTATTGTTGTTACTAGAAAATAAACAAATTTGACCCCTGCCTCCCAGGGAGTGAGGATTCCGTAATTTTGTTTACTTGTAGGGTAAGCTGAACTTCAACTTCACTCAAATTCTCGATTGGAATGATTTTTAGCAGAAAGATATAGGCTGCATGCCATCAATATGTAAAGATGTGAACTTGGAAACATGTTTGTAGGAGAAACAAGCTAGCTTCTCTATGAAGTTGCTGGTGAGTTAAAAATAGAAATATTTATGTATTTATTAATAATGTTATCGTGTAACATGCAGCCTACTAGCCAAATTAACTATATGATGCCAGGTTTGTATGGCATCTAATTTTAGCTTATTGAGTAAAATCACATTCGTTGGCATTTTGCTGCTAAAAGGCTATAGGTTTTAACCTGCTTTGTTGGTTCTTCTTCTTGTTGCAATTGAATATTCTTTGTACCTTTGGTGCTATCAACAGGGCACCCTGGTTAGCTTACAGCCGAACTGTTACATGGAGTGGCAGTACATGGTATTCCTATTTACCACAAGGACAAATTGGCTTTTGCTATGTAATTATGTTAAGATCCTACATTATGGCTATTGTTTTGTTTGTCAATCACTTTTTGGACTCCATCTCAAGTTGTTTAATTAGGGCATTACCAGAATTGCTAACTCGATTAGAAGCCTTTATAGAATGAGTTATCTATAGAGGAGTTAATGAGTATACTAACACCTGTTATGACGAACTGCCAAGAACACAATTTAGAAAATAAATGACAAGGAGAGAGACACAGATTTATGTGGTTCACATTAACAGTCCACATCCATCAAGCAGACATTGAATTCAGGGATAAATATGAGTAGGAAAGATGGAAACTTCTCCCATAACCAATTCCCCAAACGCACCCTTTATGGTATCTTTCTCAAAGAAAACCTTGGGAGCGCTCAGCAAAACAGAAGAGAGAGAGAGTATAAGAAAGAAAATAACTGATAATTATGGGTATAGGGAATCCCTAAAATATGTAAGTCTTTGTAGAGGGGATAACATAACAAGCTGTACCTCTATTGGACATGGTTTTGACGTTTCATGTTATGCATGATGACTCCAAATATCTACCTAATTGCCATAGTGCAAATCTGCAAAAAGTAATGTCATCACGTGCCATGTGATGTGCACAGTAATTGCATATTGGTTATATGATGTCATGTTGATGGGAGAAAGAAACACTTGGTTTTATACTGAAATTTCATGTAAACTTATTTAACTTGCAATTTGCAGCTTCAGGTTGATGCTAATTTTTGTCAGAATGCAAACCCAAAATCATCAGAAGCTCCAAGCTTTAACATGCTCGACTTTCCTGCACTCACTGCAGCAGAGAGCAACAGTGGGATGTCAAAGTTGGATGGAGAAGATCTTCAATCAGCTTTTACATATAGATCTTCTTCCAATGTATCTAGAGGCACAGTTGATTTTGCGTCAACTGTTCGCAAGCTTGCTTCCGAGGATTCTGCTCATAGGAAGTATGAGAGGAACAGACCCGCAGACGGATTTATTAGTTCAAGTAGAAGCTCACAGCTTTTGAACAGCTCATACAACAGTAACACTAAAGTTCCGTACGGAGATAAAGGACGAAGTTCTGCTGCTGGTCGGGCAGCGCCTGTTTGGCTTGAGACTGGCGATGCAGTGGGTAATACTCAAGTCGAACATCTATGCATGTTTAATATCGATGACTTATACCTTAAAATGGCCTACTAATTTCCTGCACGTATATTTGTCTCCCTAATGGTAACATGGCAGCAAATCTTTACTCAGAACTGAGGGGAGATGCTCGTGATTATGCACGCCTTCGAAATGCATGCTTTGAACAGGTATTGTGTAACTACAGTCATAGGCAATTACTTTATGTGAATCTGCGGTAACTATAGTAATTACTTTCTGAATAAATCCTTTGCAAATATTCTTAATGACTAAAGAGATGCAGGTGTTAGTGCTTTCTTTATTACTTAATCTTCTCGTAGATCTGGTCGCATGGTTATAAGTTTTGTGCAATGGCTGAAGATTTGTATTATTAAGATTTATGGAGATATATAATACTCTGCAGTTCTGACAAAACTATTCTATTAGCTATTGTCATTGCATGCGATAATATAAGAACTCCTTTAAGCCTTAGGTTTTAATTGCAGGCAAGACAAGCTTATCTGATTGGCAATGGTTCCCTTGCTAAGGAGTTGAGCAGGAAAGGACAGTTGTACAACATGCAAATGAAAGCAGCTCATGGTAAAGCTAGGGAAAGTATCTACCGTCAAAGGTTGGTTGTTTTCTGGCTCTTTCTTTACATGGCATACCTCAAATAGCTGGCATGTTTGCTCTTTTGGAATAGTCTATTCATGTTTAGTCGAATAGTTTTTTTCTCAATTATGTTATGAAGAAAAGTCTATCTTTGTGGAACTCGTTTTCACCGTGTCGTGCTCATCACTGAATTGATTTTGGGGGTTTTTCCTCAGTAGCGTGAATATTTTTAGCAACAAGTCACACTTATGGATCAGTTGAATGCCCCCTAAAATATAAGTAATATATAGGATGAATGATTACATCACACATGCTCATGTGAAAGCAATCTTGTATGTCCATGCTGCTGTTTTAAACTACGAGAATTCAGAACTAAAACCCAAGGTTTTGAAGTTCTCAGTTTCTTTTTTAGAAATAAGTAATTGTTAGTTTGAAAATTTGTAGTTAAAAAAGGTTATGATTTTAGTATGCAATTCTAGTGAAAGCAATCTCCAAATAAAAGGATTTTAAACGTTGTCTTGACTTAATTTTTTCTATTAAACACTACTTAATATTGATTTTAGTATGCAATTTTAGTGAAAATAAGCTAGATATAAGAAATGCAGTCTGTCTGATATCAAAGATATGAGAAATGCAGCCAGTTTGATATCAATCTGTTTAACACGGTTCCCTACCAGCAGGTCATGAATAATGAAATAAGGACATTTTTATAAGGTTCTAAGCTTGTTTGTTCCAAAATGCGAGGTCGTTTTACTAAGAACCAGAGAAGCCAGTGTGTTCAATACTGGTTATGTATCTGATCAATTTATGTAAGTGTGCTCGTTATGCACATGAAGAACTGCCTGTATTATTTGTATAAGGGAAATTTTATGTTGGTGCTGCAAACGTTATTTGATCCATGGATTTAGGCCAGTTTTCCGACACTCAATCTTAAACGACACCGAAAAGAAAAGCAAGGCATTGTTACCCATTAAGATGACCCTTTTGACTTTATAGTAGAAAAAAAGCTTTAAGAGAAGAACTATGCCTCTCCCTTGCATGTCTGCATGCATACACATATACACTCTGCTATGTGCATCACACAAGCCAAATGCATGGTGTAGCATCAAGAAACAAGTACTGTCTGGAAAGTTGGAGAGTTTATCTTATCTACAAGCATTAGGAGGTATGAAGATTTCATAGTGCTGATTCACATGTGAAATTTCAGACACTGATTCACATGTGAAATTTCAGAAACAGAAACTGTTTGCATTAGCAAATCATGCAATTGTAAAGTCTGACTTTTTTTGTTAGTATTGCAAAAGGAGAATTTTTTTAAAAGACCCTTTTTTAAAAATAATTAGCAAAAACGACATTTTTGCTAAATAATTAGCAAAATCGACCTCTTTCACCAAGGCTGGCCAAAAAGAGGTCAATTTCGCAAAATTTGGTGTTGAAAACACACAGGAGCATTCACTAATCACCGCCTAAGCACAACTCACAAAACACACAGGACTAGTAGTCCACTGTGTTTTTTGTGCAGTATTAGATAATACTCAAGTTGATTAGTTTTAAACTTTTCTCCTTTACAAAATGACCAGTTCTACAAACTTTGAGATCTGATCTCTGAGAATCTCCGAAGAAAACCCCTAACTAGTAATGGCGAGATCTCGATCGAGCTTTCTCCTCTGTCTCCTCCTCATCTCTCTCCTTCTCGTCGTCTCCCCATCGCTTGCGACCTCCGATGGCCCTTTCATCGTCGCCCACAAAAAGGTCAGCCTCGCCCGCCAAAAGTCCGGGATGGAGCGCGTCTCAGTCTCTGTCGACATCTACAACCAAGGATCTGAGTGAGACTTTTGGATTGAGTTTGGATCTGGTTTGGTTTTGGATCAAATCCAGGCAATTCCTTTTAAATTGTTACATATTTAAAATGTGTGACCTTGATTGAGTTTAAATGGATTGTTACCTTTTATTTGATTTGAATTAAAACTATTTAGCAAAAAAGGTCGTTTTTGCTAATTATTTTTTAAAATGGTCTTTTTTTTAAATTCTCCATTGCAAAATCCAACTACTTCATCTAATTGTTGGATAGATTTTACAAAACTACCATAAACTTTGAGGAGTTATTCACAAAACTGCTATAAAGTTTGTTTATGGAGAGGAGTACCTTGAATCTTAAAAGCTGTAGAAAAATGCCTTTAACAAATTATTACTAATGACATTAACAACTTGGATAAAAGGTCAACACTACCCTTGAAAACTGGGGAGAGGTAATTTATAGAAGATAAATACTGTATGAGGGGAAAATCGTCCGAAACATGTCAAGTTGGAACATGTGACAACTTATCCCAACTTCCATCAATCATGCTAGTTTAATGAAAAATTCGTAGCAATTTTCTCCAATAAAAACAGTTTATTGTTTTTACCAAGTCAATAATAAGAAAGCCTTCATCAATTAATCATTTATTTATTAGAGTATGACAGTAACTGCTCCATGAATATTTCTTTGCAGGAACCCAAGTACTCTGGATGCAGGAATTCAAGATGGTCTAATAGACCTTCATGGGCTTCATGTGAACGAGGCGATCCAAGTTCTACAGCACGAGCTGAGCATTTTGAGGAGCACCGCAAGATCTTCAGGCCAACGACTACAGGCAATGATCTGTGTCGGTACGGGCCACCACACCAAAGGTGCACGCACTCCTGCCAGGCTCCCTGTTGCAGTGGAGCAGTACCTTTTAGAAGAAGGCCTTCATTTTACCCAACCTCAGCCTGGCCTACTCCGTGTTGTTATATACTGACACATAAAAACGAAAAAAAAAGGAGAAAAAATAATGGGGAAAAAAATCAACCATAGGGTGATCTCTTGTATATGGGTGTAGGAATGGGGAGGATTAACAGAAAGCTTCTTGTAGGTTTAAGATCAGTGTAAAATTTGTCAAATTTGTGGCATTCACATTACTCTTTCTTGTAAATTTTCCTGGCAGATAGTGCTGAGGCTGTACACTTTTAGCCTGACCTTTTTTTTTCAATGTATTTTTTCTTGAGACTTTTCTTGTTTGTGCTCTAGCTCGATCCTGTTTATACTCAATATAGAATTTTAGATGTTTCTGTTCTAGTTTTAAGCGCTTGCGTGCTTGTTATGTCTAGGTTTATCCAATTTCTTGTTCTCTTAAAGCTTGTTTAAAGCATTTTATGTAAATGTTTTTTTGGTTTTTGACCACGTGCTTGTTATGTCAATTTGCCCATCACGGAACGTGGGATGTTGACGGGATTCCAACATTCTCATTTACAGAAACACAAGAGCTCATTCTCGTCCTTCAAAATACAAAATTTCATTCAGAAATCATTCAAGAATCTTGCATATCCGTATTCGCGGCAGCTCGTGTGCTTGCTGTCTATAGTGCCTTAGGGGCTGTTTGGTTGTATGTTTTTACCATTTAAAGGATGGAAAGTGTAAAAAAGTGGGTCCCAATGTCAGCTTTTATCATTTTCAATTGTTTGTTTGTAGTTGTGAAAAATAGTGTAAAGTGATTTCATGTGCTGATGTGGCTTATAAAGTGATTTCATAAAAAAAAGATATGATTTTAGGAGAAAGCTTACATTGAAGTCAGGAAAAAATAATAAAAAATAATTCCAACCAATATGATCATTTGAGTAGGGACCATTTTTTACACTTTCCAAACAAACAAACAATTTATGATTCCAATAGAATAAAAAACAAACAAAGAAAAGTATAAAAATAAAATTGACGAGGTGGACAACAACTTTCCAAGTTGTGTCATAAATACACAACTTTACCAACAACAACCAAACAGCCCCTTAGCTTCTCGCTTCTGAGTTCTCAAAACATGATGTAATGAGAAAGGTGATGCTCTCTATCCTCGATCCCTATAAACATGTCGATCTCCATATGATGATATGAGCTGATTAATCTTGATCGCGAGCCTTCGGTCCAGTTGTGCAGGTTCTCCATGGTCTATAAAATAAATTCACGGGCCTACGCTTGACCATGGAGATATAAGCTCTCAAAACACTGTCAAATTATGTTGTGTATGGTTCATCAACAGAAATATGTAATTAAAATTCATTATCGCCCAATCAAGATTTCTTCGGGAATGAAAGTAAAAGAAAATTGAAGGATTAATTGAAAATCTTGATTGTTTGAGCGTATTATAGCCCACAATCAAACTTTGATTAATTAAATTTTTTTTTTTTTCGTTTCATAATTTTACTCTTCACAGGTTGTCAAATTGATGGGTGAGATATTTAGATGTGTTTGGTTCGAATAGGAATTGCATTAAATAAATGAATAATAGAAGGTTAACGTTGCTTTTACCGATTTATGAATTAGAACACCACTAATTAATTAAAGAGTTACGTTTATTAGTACCACTAGTTTTTATGCGCGTGCATTGGTTAAATATCATAATTGTTTATTTTTAGTTTATTTTCTTACTAAAATTTTTTCTTTGGTTTCAATTTGATAGTTTTTTTCTCACTTTTGTCTCTAAAGTTTAATATTGTGGCTATTTATCTTCTTTAATATTCGTTTTAATGGACTACACCCAATTCAAGTTTCATGTTGATAATTAACTTGACATGAAACCAACGTGAAGCCAATTTGAATATTCATGTTATTTGGATCGATATGAAATGAAGTTTTACCTAATGAAGTATAGTGTTGCGAAAATAAAATACTTGAAAATAGCATTATAATAGCAAGAGGAATAATTAAAGCCAATAAGCCTAGACAATTGATTAGAAGTGGCTAAATGGCACAAAAGAAAATATGGATTTTATTCCTAATCATTGATAGACTTTATTGAAAATCATAAATTAAGCATGAATGCTAACTCCAGTATAATTTTATATGATAAAAGCATCCACAAAATAAGTATGTAAATATTTTTAAAAATTAGCGAAAATCTCTTACAAATATTCCTAATTTTAATCAAAAAAATAGGTTATTCTGTAAAATATTAAGAAAATATTGTATTTTATTCTTTCTTTTTCATTTTTAATTGAGTCAAGATCAAACCTTCTTCACTTTTATCTTTTTCTAAGGTAATTTTGGAGTAGTGTCCTCATCATACATCGATTATGACATCAGGCTGGACCTAGATTTCTCATGCTATTTTTTTTTTCATGGGCTCATTTCTCTTTTATGTTCTCATCTAACTTTACAAGTAATTTGAATGAGAACAAATGCTAATGAAAACAAAAGTTAGTTTCATATATATGATAATTTTTTTGTGTTTCTAATTCATTACTTAAGTTAAGTTAGGATTGACATATTTTTTTCTTTGCAATGAATTTTTGTGTTGTGTACCTAATAAGAGTTTCCACAGTGTTAAACGGTGTTACATTTGCAATGTCCTAAGTCATTAGATATTCTACAATATTTATCATTTGAACACTTGTTTTTTACATCTATATTCACCTTTTTGTTGTGGTCTTTACAAGTGTAAAGCCACAACTCAAATCTACTATAACTGGTAGTTATCTTTGCCTTAAAGGTGCAATAGCATATATGTATATTGGTAATTTTTAATTAGGCTTAATTGTGTGAATTATAGAATATGTTTTTTAAGATCATACCTCTTTCGAATGTTGTAATGTCTGCTTAATATCGATAAGTTAAATTTTATTGCATTTGTAAAGAGCATTGATGAAGATGCTTTTGTCCTGATAGCTTGTTCTGAATGAGCCCTGCATATTAACTTAAAAATACAATACTTATTGTTTATTGTGTTATATAGATGTTTGTTTAGTTTACTTACCATTTTCTTATTTATTTAGTTAGTTGAATATATATATATATATATATATGTCCAATACCATTTTCTTCTTTGATTGGAAAAAGTTGTTTAATATGTTCTCCAATGGGAAATCAGTTGAGGCTTCTTTGATAGATATGTCTCTTGTTAATATCAATTCAAGCGATTCATGTATGTTTATGAATTTTGGAAATTTCCTTCAGTTTTCCATTTAAAATGAAAACAGCTAGATCCTTTTGAAGGATATATCTGAACTTTTTAATTGTTTCTTCATACATAACTCATTGTATTTTTTAATCTTATAAATATTATTAAAAGCAGAGAATATTTTTTAACCCTGTGAATATTACTAACACCAGAGAATAATGTTTATAAAATATAATCAATTAATGCTAAACTATTATATTATAGTCTTTTATCAATTTTAAGTGATTTAGTCTTCTATCAATTAATACTACCTTTGTATTTTTGATACTCCAACTTGTTAGCCTTCTTGTTTTGATGATGATTTACAAACAATTTACTTATAATGTTGCTTGTCTAGTGTTTGTGTTTTTGTATCAATTGTAGACAAACAACACGTTGGAGGATGGATGGATTGCGCCATAACGATCAAATCAAATGGAGGTTAGCGAAATAGTGGGTGAAGCCTATGCAATTCAAGTTGAAGATCCAAGTTCTAGCTTCATCTGCAATGTGTACCAAGTCAAGCTTATTAAAGATCAAGATCAAGCTTAGGTAACATTAGTTTAGGTTTATATTATGTGTGTTGGTACTTTAAGCTCAATCATATGTACACACACACGTATTTGGTTTCTATGTATATATATAGTTATATATATATACATGCATATTTTGGTTTCCAAGTTTATATAAATATGAAATTATATATTTCATATTTATTATTGTGTTTTGGTTTAATTTCATAGATATGAAACAAATATATATTCATATACATCCTCATATGTTTCATACTCTATTATGTTTGAATTTATATTGCATAGAATATGTAATTTTATAAAAATATTGTTTTATTGGTTTTTGGACTTAACAATAATCGCATCCATCTTTTACTAAGTCTATATAATCATTTTGTAATATTTCAAAACATGGTTAAGCTAAAATGTCAAAACTCATATGTTTACATTATCATGTTTTGGACTATTTTATAAAATAATAATATTTCTTATTTGGGAGGTCCTTCTTGAAAACCAGCTTTTGTAGAATGTTTATTATCATGTCTAGAATCATCTCCCAAAGTTTCATAATTTTTAGAATTTATTTGATATTTTTAAACCCAGATTTAAGTTGAGTTTTTCTGTGCATTTCAGATCTGTGCACGTTTAGTCGACTCATGAGTCGACTCATAAGTCGACTCACGAAGTGCAACGGAGTTGTGATTTTTCTTCTGCTGGGTCGACTCATATAAGCCGACTCATTAGTCGACTCATGAGTCAACTTATCAGAGAGCCGTTGCACAGTAACGACTAGTTTCTAGATTTGATTATTTTAATATTTTTATGGGTTTTTGTTAGATTTTTGGGCTGGTTTCTTCAAGCCTATATATATACCCCTTTACATTAACTATTTTTATTAACCAAGAGAATGTTTTAAACAAGTTTAACAAGAGTTTAAAGTTTGTTTTAGTTTGTTTAAAAGAGTGTTTGTTTTAAACAAGTTTAACAAGAGTTTAAAGTTTGTTTTAGTTTGTTTAAAAGAGTGTTTAAGAGTTTTGTTTGTGAAGAGAATTTCACAAGTTGTTTAAAAGAGTGTTTAAGAGTTTTGTTTGTGAAGAGAATTTCACAAGAGCAAGTGGAGATCATCTTTGGTGTTTGAGCATTCACTCTTCTCCCTCTCTCTTATTATCTATAGAGAAGTTTCCCTAAACTCGGTCTAGCTTTACATTTATATTGTTTAGTTACCATTTTATTAAGCTAGTATTTATATTAAGTTTAATTGATTTTATTTACTCTTTGTTTACACACACAATCATTGAGCTTATTGTATTTGCATACATTATATAATTGGGTTGTGGGTTTGTGTGACTTAGAGTGTGAGCTTATATTGTGTTCTCATCCATTGTAAAGAACAAAATTATTTGTATTGTGAGCCTAATTGTGAAGTTTACTTTGTAATACACTTGTACACCGAGATGAGTGTGTGGTGAGGACGGAGTCGATACCGAGAGGAGTGGCGTCGGTGGCCTAGTGAGAGGTGATAATTCCGAGCACTTGAGGGAGTCGATACGTGAGGACCAACACTTGAGGTTGTAGCTTGTGTATGTACTTTGTGAGGATTTGTGAGAGTTGTCGGTTTACTTGATAACCGAGTGTGTAGAGTTTTTGGTTAGCTAGAAAACCGTATTGTGAGATGTAAACGTTTTTCGGGTATGCGTAGAAAACCCGGTGTGATAGTGAATATTTTCTCGAGGTGAGGAGCGGGGACGTAGGTTGTGGGGACCGAACCTCGTGAACATATCGTTTGTTTGTGATTGCATTGGCGCACTTATTTTTTATGTTCATAACTTATATCGCCTTTGCATATTGGTCATTGTTTATATAACCCACTATCTACTTTAGTTTGTTTACCTTTGAGTGCTTTGTATATCCTTGCATATATCTCATAGTATATCTTATTGCTAGGATATAGCCATTTGTTCATATTGCAGTATATCTTATTGCTAGGATATAGCCATTTGTTCATATTGCATATTCTTGCTCATAATTAGTTGTATATCTATCTTGCAAGAAGCATATTCTTGCTCATAATTAGTTGTATATCTATCTTGCAAGAATATATTTGTTAATAAATTTTAATTGGCATTTAAATCGGATTAGATTAGCATAAACCCTATTCATCCCCCTCTAGGATTCTTTCCTAGTGGCATTAAGGTTTAACACAACTTATGAGTAAAATTATATGCAATTACTTTTATTTAGACAATAATATTAAATTTTAATCTATTAATATATTTTTCAAATTTCATGTTTTTTTTTATAATTTTGAACTTTTGAGAGTATTTCAAAAAAAATTGAAACATTGGGGGTGTTAATTATAAATTTTAAAATTTAGGGGATTACTACTAATTTTTAGATTTTATGTTTTTTGTTTTAAGTTTTGAAAAGTCAGGATGTTTTGTGTAATTTTGAACTATTGAGGGTGATTTGTGTAATTTTTAAAACTTTTTTGATTTTTAACAATAATTAATGTATTATAGTATGTTAGTTACTTATTATTTATTTACCTTTTTATTATCGTTTAAACTCATTGGTGTTTACAGGGTATTATCTTTCTCTATCATCCCTGAGGCTTAATTGATGCAATACAGAACTTTTTACGGTGGGAAAGGGGGAATCTATGTTCAAGTCCGATGGTAATTCCTAGAATTCATCTATGTTGTTTGTAAGTTTTGAGTTTTTTTTGTAATTTATATTTTTGAGGGTGTTTCTATAATTTTAAAATGCTGAGCGTGTTAATTACAAAATTTATTCTTCAGATGATATTGTTAATTTTCCAAATTTTATGTTTGTTATTTTAAGTTTTGATATTTGAGGGTGTTTTGTGTAATTTTAAATATTTGAGAGTATTTTGTGTAATTTTTAAAATTTTTGGTTTTTTTGTTAATATCAAATCTTGTTAAGTTTTGATATTTGAGGGTGTTATGTAACTTATTAATCTTATTTTTTTAAATTATTGAGCTATAGGTAATTCACTTGTAAGATAGAGTATAATTTATAATTATGATTATGATAGATTAAGATTTAAATAAAATATTTAAAAAAGTGAATGATAAATTGATCAAGGGAATTTTTTTTGAACTTGTACTTTTAAAATAAATATGATTATTTAATTTGATGAGTTAATAGTAAATAGTATACTTTTATTATCTACATAATACATAATACCAATTGTCCAAGAATCCATGTTTTAATTGCAAATCTAACTTTTGAATCCAAATATCCTCGTATGAGGAAAAAAATGTAGCCTCTTTCAATCACCTAATAGGCATCAAGCTCTAACATACATCAACACATATTTTAAGGCAATTGAAAGGGTGAAAAACGCAGAAAGTCACACTATTCAAATTTATAGAAGTCTTTCTCAATTATTTATTCTTACTTAACATAATCTATAGGGGAAAAAAAAAAATCTATGCTCTCGCAATAACTTAACATGTTTGCCGAGCTGTGACAGGTGTCGATCATTCTTATCTTCTCTTCTATGAAAATAATTATTATTGATGTGACTCATGTATCATACAGATGATTATCTTTTAAATAGTTACTTAAAAATGTTTTTCACATTATTTATTGTTTCCGGTAGTGAAATGATTTTGACGGATATTCATTTCAAATAAGTAAAACTAAAAATAAAATGAATACACGTGAAACTACAATGAATTATACATCTTATTCATTAATATACCTCTCTCTATTATTACCGTTCTCATGCATTCAAAAACTCTCATATGTAATTATGTATGGAGACTATCCACTAAATTTTCGGGTTCAATTTTAATATCAAAACCGATTGATATACGAACGGCCATATCGGGCTATCGGATCTTTCTGACTATTTGCGTCTTTGGTCTACATCCGAACCCGAATTCGTTCCAGCATCGTGTCTCGCTCTGCTACTTTCTTGCAGCGGAAGCCAAAAGCTCTCCAAATTTTACAGTCAGCGCTCCCAATAGAAACAAAAAACCCTAGAAATCGATCGGGGCATCTAGGATTTTCTGTCGCCATGAGCCGAGGAAGCGGAGCTGGATACGATCGCCACATCACCATCTTCTCTCCTGAAGGCCGCCTCTTTCAAGTTGGTAAGCCCTAGGGTTTCTTTAGATCGATTCTCTAAATTCTAGGGTTTCAGTTGTAATGGCTGATTTCGTTCTATGAATTTGATGCAGAGTATGCTTTCAAAGCTGTAAAGGCATCTGGTATCACGTCGATCGGAGTCAGAGGGAAGGATTCCGTGTGCGTTGTCACTCAGAAGAAAGTTCCGGTGAGTGATTTGTTGTTTTTGTTACTAAAACTTGATTTGAGGTTGAATTAATTTTAAAGTTTGAAATTTTTTTGGGGGAATTTTTGGTGCAGGATAAGTTACTGGATCAAACTAGCGTGACACATCTTTTTCCTATTACCACGTATCTTGGTTTGCTGGCGACTGGAATGACAGGTTATGTTCAGACCCTTATCTCGAATTTGGATCGGGGGAAGCTTTCTATGAGTCAAAATGGATATATTGTATTAATAATACTGGAATCAAATTTTGATTTAATTACATTTTGGGAGAAAATATCGATTTTGAGATGCTTTTCTACATCGTCTGTAAGTCTATGTGATTAATTCGATCTCTGAGATCTCTTTTTTTTAAAGATTGTTAAATAGTAGTATCCAAGGAGTGGACATTAATAACTTATATAGTCAATGAGTTTGATGTACTAGGTTCATAGTGAAGTCATGTTCATTCCAGTATTTGCTATTATGACTGAATGTAGATACTCAGTCTTGCTTCGGAGTTTCTACTTTACTAATGTAATCTGATTCTGATATCTTCCTGATGTCCTCATTGTCAATCAATCATGAATAAAAATCAAGTTTGATATTTAATGTGCACTTTATTTGGTCACTTGAAGCTAACAATACAAAGTTAATAATTTAAAAACGAAAAGATGATGTAATTTTTTAGCAAATGTAAGAAAGAAGAAATGGACTAAGTATCACTCCATGAATGGGTGAAATGACTAAAAATTTAGTTAGTTTTGGAAAGAAAATATTGTAACCTTTCAGTGAACTAGATATTGTAAATAATATTTACCAAGAGGCTGAGAAGGCCCTCAAGTAAAGCTTCAAGATAATATCCTTATATATACAACTTTCCCTGGGTAACTTGCAAATCTGACAGACTATTCCTTTCACTACGTAAAAGTAGAGTATTTATGGATTATGTGAACTCGTGATATTGTATGTTGAAAAAAAGTCAATGATCTGGTCCAGAATTGCTCTCAATTGAATAGCTAGGAGATATTGGCTATCTTACAATTGAACATTTTCAATATAGGTTATTAACTTCTTGACATGGTGAGCATGTAGTTGAAACTCTTTTTTTTTTTTCAGCTGATGCAAGGTCTCTGGTATCTCAAGCCAGGAACCAAGCTGCCGAGTTTCGATTCAAATGGGGGTATGAAATGCCTGTTGATGTATTAGCAAAATGGTATGGTTACTTCTCCTAGCTATCAACGTGGTTTCATATATGGAGGTCTATTGCTCTCTTCGTCTATGCCTGAGCTTATGAATGTTAATTCTATGAAACAAGCTCATTTTTGTTTGTGTAGTACTGTTTTAACAGAACTATTCTTTCTGCCTTGTGCTGGATATAATTCTCCCATTTGAAGTCTATATATTTAAGGGATTTTTCGATAAAGCAACACTGGTTACTTACTGGCGATATAGATGAAATGAGAACAATATATCTGAGATGAATATGTTCACACTTTAAATCTAGAGTGGTGCAATTACCATCCTGCTAAGTAATAGAAGGTATCAAGTGCATATTATAGTGATCAATCTACTTAGGACTTGGCGATGACCTGATACATGCATGCATTTATCACTCCCTGGCCTAGCAATTCAAGTCCCAACTGGGCTTGTGCACAAACGTCAGATAGCTATATACGATGAGCTTCAATGGGGGAGAAAATCTCTTCCATCCCCCTCTGGATGCATGTAGAAAACATATCCTTTGGCATTTTCCTCGCCTACCTTTCTATTTTTTACTATTTCATTACTTATTTATATGCACTTTTACTGCAAATAAATGAATGTAAGCATAAGCAAATGTTGAAGCTTTGCATTAAATATACCTCTCTTCATTTATTCTAGATGTTGGTAATTTAGGATACATTTATCTCACTACTTTCATGGTACAGTCTATTTGCTTTATTAGTGAGATGAATTTACTAATTCTTCTAATTTGTTTTATTCGTTGATTTGGCTAAAAGTTATTGGCACATGCTCTGGAAATCTACAGTGCTTGGGACGCAATCTAATTGATTACATACTCTCCAAATTTTGTGTAGGATTGCAGATAAATCCCAAATATACACTCAACATGCTTACATGAGACCTCTCGGAGTGGGTCAGTTGCATTTATTTCTTTTCCCTTTTTTTTACTAAATTATATTTCATACTGCAACATTGTGTGGCCTCATTGGTGGTCAGTTTAGACTACATTCTATATCTCTCACTTCTCTTTTATATTAATTACTTCATATATTCCACTGATTATGCTTTTTTCTTTCACCTATCGCTTTTCCTACTTTCTGTTGGTAGCTGCCATGATATTGGGTATTGATGAAGAAAATGGACCTCAACTCTTCAAATGTGATCCAGCTGGTCATTTTTTTGGTCACAAGGTAATATTGTAAACTTTTCGCTTTTGTCCTGCTGTAATCTGGTCTCTTATGAGATAAATGGCTTGAAACTTAGGGTGACAACACTTGGTTGCAGCTAGAGACGTTCATGGCACGAGCCATATGTTTGTTGAGTACATGACGTAGATGTAGTTGAGAGAACTATATTTTATAATATCTTCATCATCTGAACTGCATCTTTAGCGGAGATTTGGCCAGCTTCTGGTCCAATTTCACTAATGTCATTCCCAAATGACTAGGAGCATACAAGAGACAGCGTACGTGTTCACGACCACAACCATGCACACATCTTCGTATGATATTTGGAAGATTAGCAAAGGAAAACTAATTTATCTTATGCCTTTATCCTAGCCTTCTGTTTCTGACATCTTTCCTAACACCAATTCATGTTTTATTAAGTTATTTGCACAAATTAATGTTGTGAGACCTGTTTGTTCTTTTTGTTGTTTGTTGTATTCACTAATAGCTTCTGGTTTCTCTTATCGGGTATCGTGGACTTGGTCGTTCTTTTTGTTGTTTGTTGTATTCACTAATAGCTTCTGGTTTCTCTTATCGGGTATCGTGGACTTGGTCTTGTTACATGTTCAAATGGGACAGTACTAATAGCTTCTGGTTTCTCTTATCGGGTATCGTGGACTTGGTCTTGTTACATGTTCAAATGGGACAGTAGATTCAAATTAAAAAAAAAGGGGAATAAAAAATCACCATTGCTGACCTGAAAACCAATTTTGTTTCCAGGCCACAAGTGCTGGTTTGAAAGAGCAAGAAGCAATTAACTTTTTGGAGAAGAAGATGAAGAATGATCCTTCATTCTCATATGACGAAACCGTGCAGGTACTGTGATTGACTGATATACGTACTGGCATTTTCCGTTACATGAAATACATTGTTTGTTTCTTATCTATACATTCTATTTAATTTATGATAGCCTTCTTACTTTTTGGTGGTTTCTTGATTTTCGTCTTCTTGAACTGGCTTCAAGTTTTGGTTAAATTTAATCTTTATGTTCATCTTGCTTTGCTTTACTTCAATCTGTGTTGTTTGAGTTATTTGTGATTTGTATTATGGCTTTGACTCCAGATATTTTCCACTTGTGCGTGTGTTTTCCTTACCTGTATCCAATTATGCTCGATGTAGGACGACACAGATTGGTCTTCAGGTCCTGGCTTAGGGCTAGTATGCAACAGAAAAATCCAAAGTTTTTTTTTATTTTGGTACATTAGCATCCTCTTTATGCCATGTGCTAACTTGATGCTGACATTCTTATTCTGCTTGCACCATTCCCTTCATGAGCCTTTTTTTTCCATTTGTCATTCTTAACAAGTATCAGAGGATCTCTTATATTTCTATTTTTTCTCAAATGCTTTCACATCTATACTGGCATCTACATATTTCTTCTTTTCTATGGCCCATGATGCAACACGAGTTGAATTTGAAGACAAATGTATTTATGACCCTACACTGATTCATGCTAGGAAAAAGAGAAGTTTGTTGGAGGTGAAATTAGGCAAGTAGATTTGATTAGAATTTGGAAGGTTCGGATTCTGCTAGATTTAATTAGGATTATTTGATTTTTTTTTATTAGATAATATAAATATTTACCAACTCTTTTCTTATCTTATAAATATTTAGTTTATTCTTTGTAGCCTTAGTGTAATGGCTGGTCTTCCTAAATCAATCTTAGGATTTAGGAAACAAATATTTCTATGTAAACCTAGATCTCTCTAGTTAAAGGTATATCCTTTCATGTGACCAATTACTGATCTGATTAAAAAAAAAAAGATAAGCCGTTTCCCTTTGATGGGGAACAGTTCTTTGGTGGTGCGAGGCCAATCTAAATGTGAAGTCATCCTGAAGAGAGACCATAAAAGGTGTTTTCTCCCCTCACTTTTGCTTTTACTTGCATGATTGCATCTATCTATTCGTATCAGTGCAATCTGCGACCAAAAAAAGAATTGAAATTTTGAAGTAATTTTTTCAGAAGCTAGATGTTCTCGAAGCTATTTTTGCATGATAGGAAAATTCTTATCGACTTTTAAACTGCTTGTTCTCTTTTCCTGCTACTATTCTTGTTTGTGCTCCAGATCCAATCAGCTGTTGGGTGTATGCATCTTTGGAACTTCCACCTCCTTCCCTCTCTCTGCTGGCAAAGCACACTAAATGTTTCATAAATGGACGAATAAATTATTGTTACGTGTTAGTTTCAATTATTTTTACGTGAGCTGTATTTTTTATTTAAAAGATTTAACTTTAGTTTGGTTAGCATATTCACGAATCCTTTGGTATATTGGTTATCATTATGATCATTATCTGATCAATTTCCATGCTGCTATGTAGCTGAGAAAATTTGTGTCTTGTCTTCTTTTTTTTCTTTCCAGACAGCTATATCTGCATTGCAATCTGTTCTTCAGGAGGACTTCAAGGCCACTGAAATTGAGGTATTCATCCTACTAGTCACATTCACCACTCTTGTTTCTTTATATTTATTTTGCTAAATGACGTGAGAACTTGCGTATATTTAAATGTATGTGTGTATATAAATGACGTGAGAACTCTCGTATATGCATGCATGCATGTATATAAATGTATGTGTGTATGGGTGCTCCCAGGCATCCGTGCATAAACAAGGTTTACCTTTTATCTACTTTTTTATATATTTTTTTGTCTTTTTTAATACATGCTTTTGCTTATTTCTTTAACGAATTCAAATATTTATTGTTTCATTTTTCTGTATCTTCATGCAATATCTTATTTTGCTGACTATATTGAGAGCACCCTGAAGTTGTTTTTGTCATATATATCCACTATCATCATTCTCTTGGACTTGACTTTCTTTTCGACTTGTGTTTGTTAGGTGGGAGTTGTGAAGAAAGATGATCCAGTTTTTAAAGTGCTATCGACGGGGGAGATTGATGAGCACTTGACAGCAATCAGCGAACGAGATTAAGGAAGGGAAGTTTTATCGATTTCGAACTGTATGTTCTTTTTTTTCTACACAGTATTAGTGTACTTTTTGGGATGAACTCGGTCGTTCTTTCAAGAAATGTTTGTGCTGTTGATGCGAACTTCGTCTGTTCTCTTATTTACATCTAAGATAACAAAATGATCTGTAGAATGGTAAATATTCAAATTGGTTTCTTTGGATGCGGCTAATGTCAATGCCATGTTGCAAAAACTCTTCGTAATGCTGTTTTCTTATTTACCCCGGTCATTCGTCGTTTTGAGGAATCAGGAGGCTTTGGTTGTAGAAATTGGAGGATGAACTTCTCCCGGCGCCCCCTGTTTCACCTTTTTTTAACTTTCATACCCTGAAGTTATCTTCTGACAATTTGATACCCCAAAATTTTCAAATTGACATGGAGTTGATAATTTGCTAACCCAGATCCTTGATTTTATTCCTCACCTTCCCCAGAGTCAAAAAATCAGAAAAAAAAACTTAATAAAAAAAAACTTGCTTCTAATACACTTTTCTATGTCGATATTCTTAAATTAACATTTTTTTTAAACTTTTAGGTCTCAAAATTGTCGAAATAGAATTTCATGATATTAAAGTTAAAAAAACGAGACTTTGCGGCATTAAAATGCTAATAACCTTTATTAAAATGGTTATATTACACTCATTTGTATTATATTTGCGCCATAGTAGTCCACTTACGGTCCACCAATTAGTTCAGTTAGTATTATGTTTTCCCTATTTACTACAATCTACACATTTGCAAAGTGCAATATCCATTTTTGGGCTAAAGACGGAAGGCCTCAGCCCTCATTTGTTCCGTAAACTGTTGAAGAATGTTATAAGTAAAGTAGTGTGTAACATGTGCGTTGCATGTGGCGTATTGGCTTAGGAAATATTAGTAAATAATACATTCTACATTATTGATTCTCAAATATGTACTTAGGATATAATATTTACTTATGGTATATTGATTCTTAATATATCATGCACGAAAGTTAGAAAGGCTGCTAAATAAAAAACTAATATTAAACATCTAGTATCTTGTCATGGTAGTAAAAATTATTATTAGATGCAAAATTATAAAAGCTATAATAGCAAGATGGATTCACAACCGATATAAAGATATTGTTTGAATGACACAGTTCATGGAAATTGTATATAATTCAAATTAAAGAATCTCAATCAAAAGACAAATTAATCTGGATTTCTTATAAGAAATCAAAAATTTTTATGTAATTCAATCAAATATATCATATATAGGTTTGTGTTTTCTGATTTACTCAATGAAAAAAAGATAGATAACAATTATATTTTATTAGTTAATCTTTGTAGATAACAATTTTGTTTTATTAGTTAATCTTTGTAGCCTAAAGTTGATAGGAACAAAGAACTTATTGGTGATTAATCAAAAAGGAGATAAAGGTTTATGATTCAATATAATTATTAACGAAAGAACATAAAAGATGCTTGATAGAGGTAAGAAATCAAAATGACAAGAAATAGCGAAAAAACGTTGGATAAGTTGATAGCATATCTGAACTTAAAGTGCATATGAACCGAGTAATTACTTATGGATTAAACCACGAGTAAATCTAATAAATAAGAAACCACAACTTATGATCTATATTCAAAGAAAAAAAGCACAACTTATGATAATGGAACAATAAACTCTTCATAACATTGTGCAAGGAGGAAAAATCTTAAAATAGCTTTGCGTAAACTTCAATGATAAGATCATACAATCTTTTTAAAAATTAAAAGATCAATAAGAATCTTACTTAATCCATAGTGAAAAAAGCACATGATAAAAATATTCTTTGGCTCCCAAATCAGATTTATGCATACTCTTAAATATCAAGACTTCCAAATAATAATCTTTCAATAATATATTATCCTTCTCTTTTTCAAGGATTCAAGAGTCAAAATACAAATCAATAGCTATAAATTAAACACGAGACATAGTCTTCAATTCCATAAAAATAAATCGTTAAGTCTGCAAACAATATGACATATATGATCCAATCCAATGTATGTATGTGCATATACATACAAGCCATGTGTACTATAAACCATTTGATAAACTTTCTTATAACATATTTCATAAACCATTATGTTAGTGTGGGAATTCGGATTAGTAGGTAATATGGTGGATTGAAGAGCATGGATGACCATAATTTATAGTATAGAGATGAAAAAGAGGTCATGTAAAGGAAAAATGAAAGAGTGGTTAGTTAATTGGATCAATAACATATGCATTTAATTAATTTATGGAATCTTTAAAAGCCTAAGAAACTAATTAAATCTTATCATCACGATGATTTTACAATTAATTTAATTTAGGATTCATTGAATGTAAGTTTGAGATAAATCAAATAAAGAAAATAATTAAAGTAAAATTGGAATTATCAAATTTAAGAGGGCTAAAAGGGGGCAATCAAAAGTTTTAGCATCACAATCCTCTTTTATATATAGTATAGATATAGATAGACAAGCAAAATGATATAGCAAGATTAGACCTATAACTAAACAGAAAATATTTTCTTATATATTACCTATTATTTGAATAACATGTAGTAAATGAATATCAATAAAAAAATGTGCAAACAAATGTAACTAGGGGATGGAAATTGATCAATAATTATCAATTAGTTTAACTGTTATTCGTTTAACTATTTTATTCAAATTTGATTTGAGGGATTGTTTAAGAAAAACTTGAATAATTTTAACATCCATATATTCCACGAATCAAACACAAACATTTTGCAGAATTGACTCGTTTGTTGATCATAGTTATTCGTTTTAAAGTTAATCTCTTACAACTTGGGTTAACTATTACGCTAATAATATAGTATTTTGTTCCTTAACATTTTACTCTAGATTTTATCCATGACTCGAGAAAATTAAGAGCACAGAACATTCAAATTATATATAGGAATATTTAATGAACTTATTAGCAGATATAATTTTTTAGCCAAATAAAAAGTATTATAAAATATATTTTATTTACAAAATGCTTTTAAGGTTCATAAACTGCATAATATTAATCAATAAATATTCTTATTTGAATTCAGAGAAGTAAATCCAACCTCATAAAATTGAATTCCAACTTGCTAAATTTAAAAACATGAACTCTCAGCATTCAATTCAATTTGATATCCCCCCCACCGCCCCTATGCTCTCTCTTTCATTAAAATAATAATAATAATAATAAAAGAGGCATCTATCGAACACAATTTTAGGAGTTCCTACGGGAAAGTTAGAAAGTCCACATGTCTTTAATGTTTTATAATTCCCATATTCACCAACCAATATGCAGACAGCGGACTGGTTGATGCGGAGGTAATATCAGATGTTTTTTTGGGCGAATTTGGTTTATGCCAAGGCAACACCATGGCGAAAAGCGCATCTTCAAGTAGATTTCGAGATGCAACCTTGAAAGACGATATGTTTTGACTTGCTCGGTAGAATCCTTGTGTTTTAGGAAAATTGAAGAAGTGATCTACACACATATAACTGATTTGAAGTTATTTTTTTATTAGGATTTCTAGAGTTTGTGTGATTTTGCTCGTATCAGAACGGGAAGTTACCTTCTTTGGTTACACTTACCTACGTCAATGGTTTTCCTTCATGATATATACATGAGTGGTGTTAGGGGCACACCCCTAACCACACCTCCTCTCCCTCTATAGTGTATTAGACCCCACATTAAATTTTAAAAAAAAAATTGATGTGGGGCCCAATACACTATAGAGGAAGAGGAGGTGTGGTTGAGATTGTGGTTGGGGGTGTACCCCTAACATTTCTATATATACATAGCATGCACGCCAAATCTATAGCTCGCGACAACTGCACTTTGGTACCTTGGATTAATGGCTTTAAACGGGCCCGTTTATGACAGGGCCTTGTCATAAATCGGCCCGCCCGCGAATAAATTGAAAGGGAAATCCGTAATCAATTATCCGAACATCTTCAGTCACGTGAGACCACGTGAAACGGCTTATATAAAAAGGGTTTTGCCCTTTACCCTTCCTCTCTGAATTCATTTCCCGCCCGCTGGAAGGAATGAGAGAGGTTCTTTCCCTCCTCGCGTTCTTCCTCTTTTTTCTATCAAGGTGAGCAAAATTAGGTTTTTGAATTTAAAAAAAAAATTGAGCTCGCGTGTAGATAGACTTACGAAAATTGGAAAAAAAATTTAGGTGTGTTTTTTTTTCTTCTCTCTAGTTGACTAATTTATTCCTTTTGTCTGTTAGATCTGGTTGAAATTCGATGCCAAGATCCCAGCTTTTTTTATTCTGAAATTTCACTTCAATCTGAAGCTATGGGAAAAATTTGCAAATTCTCAAGCGTTTCATCGAGAATATTAGGCATTTGCTCCATAATTTCTGCTATCCTCTGAAATTTTACGGAGTATTTTAGATCTATTGTCTGAATTTTTCGTTTAAATTAGCAAAATAAGCATCGGAGTGTTTCTTGGATTCTATGCCAGATTTTTTCTGTATTAATTTCTCAGATCTTACTCTTCGTTTAAACTTAGTGTGTGTGTGTGTATTGTCTATGTAGATTACCGATATCTCTCCAATTGTTGGCTAGGCGAATAATTCTTAGATAACAGCCCATAAGCATGACATAGTAGGTTTAGAGTTGGTTTTTGTGAATCTTTCTGTCCGATGATTCTTTTTAGAAGGTAATATCCATTGTCACTCACTCAAAACAAGCCCTTGCGTATTTGGTGGTTGTTGTTCTTTTTTCATTTTCCTTTTGCAGTGTTTATGTGTTGAAATTTTGTTGTAACGAAGATTCATGTTAATCAGAAATCGGACTAGAATTAGTTTCAAAAGTTTGTTCATTTTCTTCAAGATATTTATTAGATGGTGATTGGTGCGTATCCGTGTAGCCTTACCTCCTAGTTTCAGTTAGTTCTTGGCAAAAAGTTTTTGAGCAGCTCTATTTGATAGGGCAATATACACAAAGAGTAATAGACAATGGCGATATAAGATAAACACAAAAGTAAATGTGATAGGAGCTACAGAGATACCATTTAGTGATGGGTTGTGCTAGGACTTCCTTATAGAAGTATCAATGTGTCATCTGGGTGTTTTGGGTGGAATGCAAGGTATGATTTCAGAATCTTGGCAACAAGAGAGCTTGTCTGTAGAAGGGTGTGAGAGGCTAGAGAGATGGATAATTTCTCTTGTTGAGGTGGGGGTTGTGTGATTGGAATGCCTGAATTTATCTTTCCATTGAAGAAACCCTTTTACTCCGATCTCAGTTTTGTTTATCAACCTCTAAAGTTATACTTCTTGTCATTCTTGGGTAAAATGCTAAGTGCATAAAAACTAAATGTTAGTTTTACCTACAAAGAGGTTAGCTCTACAGACAAATTATACGACCCTGCTGACTTCGACTAATTCTGTGGCCTTCAAGATCTTTGAACTATGCGAGTGTGGAGAAGGAGAAAACATTGGCTATGATCAAGCCAGATGGGGTATCTGGCAATTATACGACGCAGATAAAAAGTATCATTCTTGAGTCTGGATTTAATATTGTCAGAGAGAAGATGCTTCAGCTCAATGAGGAAACCGTGGCACACTTTTATGCTGAACATTCTGGTAGAAGCTTCTTTCCTAACCTTATGAAATATATGACAAGGTATCTTCTATTCTATCAATTTATGCAATTTCACCATTGCATTTTTTACATACGTTATTTCAGCTGTAATGAAGTCATGCTCTGATTGAACTGCAGAAGTGCCAAAATGTCATAAGCCTTCCATAAGCTAATAGCCCTAATGAGGGAACTAGGTTTCAGGATATAAATTGCGTTTAGGTATTTATACAATTCCACCAGCTGAAACTCGTATGAATCTTGAAATGCATAACTATGTACATGGAAAATTAATTACTGACATGAATCACTGAATAATTATTGACATGAATCACTTAATAATGCACCTTAAGTGCTACTACCTGTATAATGTATTACATTGGTTCTTAGGATTCTACATGAATTTCTTCAGGGAAACAACTAGAGATCATCAAGTTGCAAACTTAAGGTCCCATGGTCATTTCAGTAAACTAAAAATGACTACCATCTGCCTTTTTGTTTAATTTCTCATTCTTTTTCCCCCCTAACTTTCTTCTTCTCGTTCTTGCCTCTCCCACTCTTATTCTTTGTCTGTTGGGTAACTTTTTGACATATCTGCTACATATACTAAACATCCACCCTAGCTTGCTTGTCAGCTAGCTACAACAAACAATCACAAGTATCAGAAAGGGGAATGAATAGTTAAAACAAACTTGGTAAGCATGTTCGTTACATCTACTCTGGGACACTTGGTTTGTTTCTATATGATATTAGGTTAGTGGATCTTGTTAGGCCCTAATGCCACTAGGAAAGAACCCTAGAGGGGGGATGAATAGAGTTTATGCTAATCTAATCCGATTTAATGTCAATTAAAACTAATTAACGAATATCCTAGCAAATAAGATATGCAATGAATTATTAGTAAGGATAAGCAATATAAACAAAGGGTAAAATAAACAAACTACAAATATGATAGGGCAATATACACAAAGAGTAATAGACAATGACGATATAAGATAAACACAAAAGTAAATGCGCCAATGACAAACTCAAACACAATCAAATGATCACGGAGTTCGGGTCTTCCATCCTACGTCTCTGCTCCTCACTCCGGGAAGAAATCCACTATCACACCGGGTTTTTAACGCTCATCCGAAAACGTTTACACCACACAATATCGGTTTTTAACGCTCACCGATCAACGTTCACAATCATTCACAATGTAACTACACAAATCCCATCTTAAGTGTTGGCCTCTCACGTGTCTCCCTCAAGTACTCAGAATTACGACCTACCTCTAGGTGTTACCACCGACCCCACTCCTCTTGGGACCGACCACGTCTCTCATCTCTACACTCCTCTTGGTGTATTTGTGCAATACAATGTGACCTCACAAATAAAAGCTCAACAACAAATAATTTGTTCTCAAGACAAGGTGAGAACTCAATTAAACATAACTCAATATTACAATTTCTCACAACCCTAATAATACTATATATGAAAATACTAAAAGCTCAATGTGGGTGTGTGTAACAAAGAGATTTAATAAATCAAAACTAAACTCAATATGAAAATCTAGCTTATAGAAATTAAGATCAAAATAATAAATAGCTAGAGATTGAGTTTAGAAAACTTCTCCACTGAAAACAAGAGAGAGAGGGATGAGATGAAAGCCCAAACACAAGTTAATGATCTCCTCTAGCTCTTGTGAAAACTTCTTCACAAACCGAAACTTGAAACAAACACTAAACAAACTTCAAAATCCTTTAAACTTGTTTTAAACAATTCTTGATTACTTCAGAATGTTAGAGGGCAATGGGTATATATAGGAAGAGAAACCAAAGCCCAAAGACCAAGAAAACCAAAGCAAAAAGATAAAATAACGGAAACTCAGAAAACTAGAAAACTAGCCATTATGAGGCCGTCAGTCAACTGATATTGTTCATCAGTCGGTTGATGAGCTGACCATTACAGGCCAACAAACACTTCATCAGTCGACTGATGAATCATCAGTCGATGAATCGTCAGTCGACCAATGACCTTGTCAGTCGACTGATCAGTCGACTGAATAAGAAACAGAAACTTTTGATGATTCTAGGCGTTTTCATCAGTCGACTGAACACTTTCATTAGTCGACTGATAACACAATATCAGTCTGATTAAAACAGTAAATCTGATTTTCAAAGCTCTTTTAAAAATAACAAATAAATTCAGAAAAATATAAAACTTTCGAAAATGATTATAAACATGTTATAAAAAGTATTTTTTAATTTGCAACTCCCAAATGAGAAATCTCATCATTTTTCAAAATAGACCAAAACATAAAAATACAACAACACTTGTTTTTGATATTTTAGCTTAAACATGTTTTGAAACTATATAAAATGATTATATAGACTTGATAAAAGATATAAACTATTGTTGTTAAGTCTATAAACCAAAAACACAATGTTTTATCAAAATACACATTATGCAATAAAACATGATTTCATTGAATTAAATAAACTTGATAATGATGAAATCATATATAAGCATATAAGCATGAAACAAGTATGAATTTTCTAATTATATTTATTTGTTTCATATTTAAACTGAAAACTATAAAATCAAAACGTGTATATATATATATATATAACTATATATATACATAAAAACCAAAACCAAAATGTGTATGTGTGTGTATATGATATTGAGCTTAGAGTATTAAACACATATAATATAAACTCCTAAACTAGATTACTCAAGCTATAGGTCTTCAATAAGCTCGATTTGGTACACTTACGGATGAAGCTTGAACTTGGATCTTGACTTGAAATGTATTGCTTCACTCAACTATTCCGCCAACCTCCATTGGATATGATCGTGAAACCTCGATTCCATCCATTCTCCAACTTGTTGTTTGTCTAGAATACCTAATAATAAACATAAATACTAGACAAACAATATTAGGAATTGTTTGTAATCATCAAAACAAGATTAGGGAGTATGCTCATAAACATGAGGCCAGCAAATCTATGAGTGGAAATTCAAAGTTATGTGAAGGATCGAATATTTAGTGAAGACAATGGTTCAAAATTTGCCAAACAGCTAAATGATGGTGTAATCGTAGTTCTGTAGTAGTGTTTCATCCGAAAGTGGCTTGCATCAAATCCAAATTTAAATCTTACATATTTCATCAATTTATGAGGTTTCCTTTCCTTGTGAAGATAACTGTTACCCGTATCATTCTTTGGTGATTCAACCCTTAGTTTTTCTAACGTTTTTCTCCTGTTTATTATACTTCCTTAATTTAATCTCTCTTTTTTTATTACTGAAACCTATCCTTCTGTTTTTTAAGACGTTGCATATAATCTTACAGCCACTTTATTACATAGAATAGTCTCAGTAGAGACTGGTCAGTCTTCACTAGATGCTTCTGCTTTTAACACCTTTTTCTTATAATCTTTACTTCCTACGTTGTACTTGATCCAAATTTATTATCATTTACTCTTACGAACCTCTGCAAGATACACTGAATATAAGTAACTTATTTGTATGTTACGTTTGTATGTCATGTATATTCGTACTGGTTATTGAATGCTGTTTATATTAATTACTAATTTCTATTGTTTCAGTCATGTACCAAACTAACATATCTAACTTCTAATAGTGGCCCAGTGTACATTATGGTCCTTGAGAAGCTAAACGCCATCTTTGATTGGAGAAATTTGATTGGTCCCACGGATTCTAGAAAAGCTAAAGTTTCTCACCAAAATAGGTTAGTTATTTCTCTAAAAGTGCTTGTTTACATAAAATAGTTGCTGATGGAAAAGGATGTAACATGCACTGTCATACAGTTCTCATGATTCTGCATCTGCTCACTTCTTTCCCCCTTATTTCGTGTCTGCGTTTAAGTTAATTGTGCCCAGGGATGATGGAGCTTCCTATATAAAGGTGTTATAGTCTTCCCTCTTCCTTTGCTTCTTTCTTCATATATGTTATTATATTTTAGGGTTGTTCCCATTTGAAAGATTGAACTGTGGAATAACAATGTTTTGTTATTGGTATATATTGTTATTGGTTCTTTCTTCATATATGTGTATCGTATTTTAGGGTTGTTCCCATTTGAAAGATTGAACTGTGGAATAACTATGTTTTGTTTTTGCTATTTGTCAAAACTAGTCTTCCAGGTTTTATGCGTGTTCCCCTCTGGAATTATGGTATAACCTTGAGAGTGCTCATGTTCATTTTACAGCTGATGCCTGACGGCAAAGTTTGAATGATCTTTATCTGGAACTTTATCGCTAATCAATTGCTAAAGCCATATCTTGGTCAAACAATATTTTGAGATGATTTCTATCTTGATTGAACAGTAAAAATTACGTTGTTCAACAAATTGAACGCCTTTTCAGACTATTTCCGACTGTCAGAAAGATTTCAGCAACAAACATGAAGTTGTAGCTCTGTATGACTTATATGTAGTAAAAGGTGAAAATTAACACTTGTAATGCTACTTTAAATGGGTCATCTACCGGAAAAAAGGATTGTTTGGGTGTCTAGTTCAAAAAGGAGGATTTTTCTTTATAATCCACATAATAAATAAAAAACATAAAAATGTTATAGGTAAATTCTCATAGGGAAAAATGCTTCCAGACCCCAAAAGCCAAGTGAACGTGCTTCCCACCCCCAAGATTTGGTTAATTGGCGTTTTACCCCTAAAAATAAAGAATCTGTTCTCTGAGCCCCAAAACACAAAACCCAAGACATTAAAACATGTGAAGACCATAATACCCTTCTCTCTCTTTCTTTTTTTATTAAAATATGATGAGGGTTATTTTATTATTTTTGTTTTTCTCTCTCTTTTTATCATGATGTACCAAGAGGATAGTTGAAATGATTGATGATGATTATTTTATTTTTTTTATTTTTTATTATTTTGGTTGTTTGTATTGGGATGTTGTTAAAGTTACGGGTTATAATTGTTAAGGTTACGAGTTAATTGTTAATGTTACGGGCCAATTGTTAAAGTTATGAATCCTCTCTCTCTCTCTTTCTTTTTTTATTAAAATATGATGAGGGTTATTTTATTATTTTTGTTTTTCTCTCTCTCTTTATCATGATGTACCAAGAGGATAGTTAAAATGATTGATGATGATTATTTTATTATTTTTGTTTTTTATTATTTTGGTTGTTTGTATTGGGATGTTGTTAAAGTTATGGGTTAATTGTTAAGGTTACGAGTTAATTGTTAATGTTACGGATCAATTGTTAAGGTTATGAATCCTCTCTCACTCTGTTTTTTATTAAAATATGATGAGGGTTATTTTATTATTTTTGTTTTTCTCTCTCTTTTTATCATGATGTACCAAGAGGATAGTTGAAATGATTGATGATGATTATTTTATTATTTTTGTTTTTTATTATTTTGGTTGTTTGTATTGGGATGTTGTTAAAGTTATGGGTTAATTGTTAAGGTTACGAGTTAATTGTTAATGTTACGGGTCAATTGTTAAGGTTATGAATCCTCTCTCTCTCTTTCTTTTTTATTAAAATATGATGAGGGTTATTTTATTATTTTTGTTTTACTCTCTCTCTTTATCATGATGTACCAAGAGGATAGTTAAAATGATTGATGAGGATTATTTTATTATTTTCGTTTTTTATTATTTTGGTTGTTTGTATTGGGATGTTGTTAAAGTTACGGGTTAATTGTTAAGGTTACGAGTTAATTGTTAATGTTACGGGTCAATTGTTAAGGTTATGAATCCTCTCTCTCTCTCTCTCTCTTTTATTAAAATATAATGAGGGTTATTTTATTATTTTTGTTTTTCTCTCTCTCTTTATCATGATGTACCAAGAGGATAGTTGAAATAATTGATGATGATTATTTTATTATTTTCGTTTTTTATTATTTTGGTTGTTTGTATTGGGATGTTGTTAAAGTTACGAGTTAATTGTTAATGTTACGGGTCAATTGTTAAGGTTATGAATCCCCTCTCTCTCTCTCTATCATGATGTTTCTTTGATGATATTGAAATGGTTAAAGAGGATTATTATTTTATTATTTTTATTTTTTATTCTTTTTGTATTTTTAGAATATTCGTTGTTAAGGATAATGGTTGGTTGTAAAGGTTATGCATTGATTGTTAAGGTTACGGGTTGATTGTTAAGGTTAAGGGTTTGTTGTTAAGGTTATAGGTTTGTTGTGTAGGTTACGGATTTGTTGTTAATGTTATGTGTTTAATTGTTAAGGTTACGTGTTTAATTGTTAAGGTTACGGATTTAATTGTTAAGGTTACGTATTTAATTGTTAAGGTTACGGGTTTAATTGTTACGATTACGGTTTATTAATTGTTAAGGTTACGGTTTAATTGTTAAGGTTACGGGTTTAATTGTTAAGGTTACGGGTTTAATTATTATGGTTACGGTTTTAATTGTTAAGGTTATGTATCCCTTCTCTCTCTCCCTCGTAACTTTAACAATTAAACCCGTAACCTTAACAATTAAACTGTAACATTAACAATTAAACCAGTAATCTTAACAATTAAACCCATAACCTTAACAATTAAATCGTAACATTAACAATTAAACCGTAACCTTAACAATTAAACTGTAACCTTAACAATTAAACCTGTAACCTTAACAATTAAAACCGTAACCATAATAATTAAACCCGTAACCTTAATAATTAAACTCGTAACCTTAACAATTAAACCGTAACCTTAACAATTAATAAACCGTAACCGTAACAATTAAATTGTTAAGGTTACGGTTTAATTGTTAAGGTTATGGGTTTAATTGTTAAGATTACCGGTTTAATTGTTATTGTTACGGTTTAATTGTTAATGTTACGGGTTTAATTGTTAAGGTTACGAGGGAGAGAGAGAAGGGATCCATAACCTTAACAATTAAAACCGTAACCATAATAATTAAACCCGTAACCTTAATAATTAAACTCGTAACCTTAACAATTAAACCGTAACCTTAACAATTAATAAACCGTAACCGTAACAATTAAACCCGTAACCTTAATAATTAAATCCGTAACCTTAACAATTAAACACGTAACCTTAACAATTAAACACGTAACCTTAACAACAAATCTGTAACCTATACAACAAACTCACAACCTTAACAACAAACCCTTAACCTTAACAACCAACCCGTAACCTTAACAATCAATGCATAACCTTTACAACCAACCATTATCTTTAATAACGAATATTCTAAAAATACAAAAAGAATAAAAAACAAAAATAATAATCCTCTTTAATCATTTCAATATCATCAAAGAAACATCATGATAGAGAGAGAGAGAGAGAAAAGAATAAAAAACAAAAATAATAAAATAATAATCCTCTTTAATCATTTCAATATCATCAAAGAAACATTATGATAGAGAGAGAGAGAGAGAGGATTCATAACCTTAACAATTAACCCGTAACATTAACAATTAACTCGTAACCTTAACAATTAACCCGTAACTTTAACAACCTCCCAATACAAACAACAAAAATAATAAAAAATGAAAATAATAAAATAATCTTCATCAATCATTTCAACTATCCTCTTGGTACATCATGATAAAGAGAGAGAGAAAAACAAAAATAATAAAATAACCCTCATTATATTTTAATAAATAGAGAGAGAGAGAGAGAGGATTCATAACCTTAACAATTAACCCGTAACATTAACAATTAACTCGTAACCTTAACAATTAACCCGTAACTTTAACAACATCCCAATACAAACAACCAAAATAATAAAAAACGAAAATAATAAAATAATCCTCATCAATCATTTCAACTATCCTCTTGGTACATCATGATAAAGAGAGAGAGAAAAACAAAAAGTAATAAAATAACCATCATCATATTTTAATAAAAAAAGAAAGAGAGAGAGAAGGGTATTATGGTCTTCACATGTTTTAATGTCTTGGGTTTTGTGTTTTGGGGGCTCAGAGAACAAATTCTTTATTTTTAGGGGTAAAACTTTTGTGTTTTGGGGGCTCAGAGAACAAATTCTTTATTTTTAGGGGTAAAACGCCCATTGACCAAGTCTTAGGGGTGGGAAGCACGTTCACTTGGCTTTTGGGGGCTGGAAGCAATTTTCCCATTCTCATAACACGTGAATAAAAACAATATTGATCTCAGGTAAATTATTGATTACAATTAATATTAGTGTGTGTAAAACTGTAAATATTTCTATAACCTTGTCCCTGTACCCTACCTTTTACGAACTACTGTGTCATGTACTGATACTCGAACCTGTTTCCATGAAACATAGATACACATACATATTGTTTCTCATTGTTCATTATTTCCATTTATATGCGAGGACAGTGGACACTAGGTCGTTTGTCTCACTAGCCTTGTGTGAGAGTCCACATATTGTGGATGCCAACATTGTTCACCATGGAATTTGAAAGGTGTGCAACCTTAAAGGTTTCAGTTACTGGGAAAACTGACATAATGCTTTAGAGGGTCAGGACTAATGCTGTATAAATATTTACATTAAGCTGTTGCTGTATGTCACGAGCAAAATTGTGCCTCGAGTTCAAGT